ACGAATTACAACCAATAGCCAAGAATATTTTTCAATGCATCCCGATAAAATTAGAATGACCAATTCAAAAAAAGTACAAAATAACGTTGAGAGTTAGGATACGCCGTTGCGAATGGGATTTGAGAAGGGTTGCAAGGGTAAGGTAAACGATATTCCCGAAGCCGGTGGATCGATAGCAATTTAACCACCCTTCGCCATTTTGTACGAGCACCTACCGCTACATCTATGTACCTTCCTCGAACCTGGGTCCAGCAACAGCCAGCACCGGCATCGTTGGTTACCTCTGTTTCCACCCCTTTCTCTCCCCGTTCATCCCTCTTTCTACGGTGTGCACAGCGTGGCCCAGTCGGAACTCATCCATATACATCGAGAAAATTAATATCTGGGCTTCGTTCGCACGTTGAATAAACTCGGTTGTGCGCTCGCTTCCTTCCACCTCCTTCGTTTCCCACCCCCTCGGCTGCTTCCGGCCGACGCTGATCAACCCCTTGTCTTCAAACGCCCTTCTTCCAACCCCCGTTTCTCTTTCTCTCTCGCCTTTCACGGTGTGGCTGCTCTGTGATCTCGCTATGGGGTCGAGATAAAGCGGTCTCGTTTGTTAATCATTTTTTTTCCTCTTTCGAACTTTCTTTTCGGATCTCCATCGATTAACGTTCCCTCTTTTTACTCGTTTATCAATTTCTTCCGCTGTGAATATTCCTTCAAATTCTTTATAATTCGATTTTTAGTAAATCCCATTCTCAGGTTTTGAATTTTTTACCCCTTTGACGAGTCTAATCGCACTTCGACTGCAATCAATTTTACTCGAATTTTGAATACGCTTTAATTCGAAGTACAAGTTCAATTATCATTAGCATACCAATTACATAATACCTAAAATAGAATGGCATGCATTATACGTAGCATATAAATTTTCAAACGTAACCTTTCGTAAAATTTTTAATAAAAAAATAATGGCGCCATTACGCGTAAACGCGGAAACATCAGCTCTTGGTCGAATACTCGCGATCGATCGTTCGCGATATTCGAGCTACGCAAATGTTGTTTACCTTTCAGGCAGCTACACTGTCAGGTTTCTATCCTGTCAGATATGTGTTATCACTCGGATCAAGCCTCATACTCTATACGCTGACATTTACGACCGATGGTGGTACCTTCGTATTTGTTTTTTTTTTTTTTTCATTTTACAGTTCGACGATTCGACAGTGTAAACCGTTTTCAATTTCCGCGTGAGAGTTAAATTTATCTACACCGTGGACACGACGAGGCTGCACTAACAGTCAATTGCAGTTCTGTTAATATTGACGATCCTGCTGTCACGAAGAATTAATAGAACACTATATATCCGACGATACATGTCCAACAGTCGGAATTGTTGATGGACGCGATTTCCTCTTCGACTAAGCTAATTCGTCATTAATTTCCTGTGATAGAAAAACAATTTCATACTTTTGCTTAGAACTTTCTCTGTTTTAATTGATAGACAGGGGTGGATTTTTGTGTGAATGTATTTTTTTTAACAAATAATAGTTTTTTGTAGAAAATTCCTTTTAATAATTGATGACATGTTTTTAGAAAAGATAAACATTTCTTCAAGTGTATAATTTATATTTTTATAGATGAAACATTTTATATAATTGAAGAAACATGCTTTTTAAAAGATAAACATTTTTTAAACGAAAGGTGTAATTCTTCACATTTTATAGGAAATAATATTAGTTTCATAGGAAATATCTTTTAAATAATTCATCAAATTTTTTTAAGAAGATAAGTATTTTTTAAACGACTCACAAGGTATATTTTTATAGAAAAGAAATATTTTTGAAATAATATTCTTTCACACAAGATAGAAATTTCGTTAAATAATTCATACCACGTATGTTTATAGAAAAGGGATATTTTTTATACGATACAGGAAATACAAAATAAACATTTTTTAAATTATTCATACAATGAATATTTTTACCGAAATATTCATATAAAAATACGCATATTTTTATAGAAAATATACTACTCTTTAGATAATCGTTACAATCCATATTTTTATAAAAATGTGTGTTAATGTCAGATAACTAAGATATATTTTTTGTTTCGTGCATTTAGTGTGTTTTATAATTTATATTTATTTTTTATGTAAATATTGTTTATAATTTTGTTGCTTTTTATTTCTTGTGGATCTGTAAATAGTCACACAACTTTATCTGGCAATAAACTTATGAGAAGCTTAATTTTTTATTTTGAGTTAGATTATTGAACAGTTGAGTGCAGACTATGAATGATTTTTTAGTAAAAGTTAGGTTATAGAACATTTGAGTACAGCCTGTGAATCATTTTTTATTAAAAGTTAGATTTTTGAACAGTTGAGTGCAGACCATGAATTATTTTTATTAAGAGTTAAATTATAGAACAATTGAGAGCAGACCAAATTATTTTTTATCGACTGAGAAATTGAACAGTGATGTTGATGTATAACGTAGTTAATGAATTGATCTGAAATAGCTGATTATAGTCCCATTCGTCCAGGCGATTAGTAGTCGACATGGGTTCATCTTCGAACTGTCATAATCGAGGGAAGCGAAACGATCGTAACAAGGGTCTGACAAGCCGAGTTCAAGTTGTTTAACGCGATGACGACGGTCTTTGTAACCCAAAATCCACAGTCAAAGTTTGGTACCACTTGGCAGCAGTTGTCTTCGGATCACGAAGGCCACCTAAGGTCTCGAGAGATCCTCGACTGGCTGCTAGTTCTTGTAAGAGTGCTTCAACGTTGTTGTCAGTGCGACGAGGAATATACGAAAATGACACTCGTCTCATACCTGACGAGTTTTCCTCTCCTACCACATTATCTAACTTTTTCTAAATAATCACAAAAATTATCGATTTTTACTATTTTTCTATCGTACTTCTTTCGTTGCAGTAAATTTGTTGCTATAATTTTCTGGTACACATTTACTATGAAAACATGTCTTTGTTATTCTGTTTTGTGTAGTATGTTTTGTTACCTTCTTAAATTTTTACTCAAATTCTTTATTACAAGAGGATCACTGACATAATGAAGATCTTAATTAACAATTCTTATGCATTGAACAATACACATAAGATTTTAATTACATGTAGCTACACTAATATTCAAGTATTGTAGTTTACATCTGTCATTTCATACAAAAAGTTATTATATGTCATCACATATAATTTGTACATCACACTGTTTATTTTACAATATACTGTATAAGATTTCAATCACATGTAGCTACACTAATATTCAAGTATTGTAGTCTACATCTGTCATTTCATACAAAAAGTTATTATATGGCATCACATATAATTTGTACATCACACTGTTTATTTTACAATATACTATATAAGATTTAAATTACATATAGCTACACTAATATTCAAGTATTGTAGATTATATCTGTCGTTTCATACAAAAAGTTATTATATGGCATCACATATAATTTGTACATCACACTGTTTATTTTGCAATATACTGTATAAGATTTCAATTACATGTAGCTACACTAATATTCAAGTATTGTAGTCTACATCTGTCGTTTCATACAAAAAGTTATTATATGTCATCACATATAATTTGTACATCACACTGTTTATTTTACAATATACTGTATAAGATTTCAATTACATATAGCTACACTAATATTCAAGTATTGCAATCTATATCTGTCACTTCATACAAAAAGTTGTTATATGTCATCACATATAATTTGTACATCACACTGTTCACTTTACAAGAAGAATAGATGAATTTCATTGGTATTTGTAGAAACATCATCCGGTAACAGTTCTATTGTTAAAATAATCTAATGAGTAAACTAGAAAGGGTATCGTGATTCAAACAAAGACACGCCACTTTGCATGTCATATCATATGTGACAAGCGCAGCCAATTATTTTTGAGGTATGCCGTTCGTAACGCGCGAAGAATCTTGTCCATCTGTCAACACCGTTTGCCAACCTCGAGGCCGAGCAAGCTGGCAAGAAGATTTCGACGAGCAAGATTTTGCTTCTGCGTGTTACGCGGATAGAAAAACGAGGGCACAGCGAACGTGTGTACGCGAATAGAGAAAAATTACCCCAAACACGAGCCCGTGCATCAATTCTCGTCGATTCATTAACTTCGTCTCGTTTCTCGAGGTCGTAAAATTCTTGCGAGACCCCGAAAAGTTTAACCTCCCCTGTTTTGGCAACGGAACCGCCTCGATCGTTTAATCAAATATTAACGTACAAGTTTATTAATGACCTATGTGTTAATTCAAGTTGCATGCAAATGAAGTTTAAAATTATTTCGGGGGTTATTTCGGGTGGGATTATTCATTGGGAGGCTATTTTTGTTGGACGAGTGCTAGATTTAATGCGACAGGTGTTAATATATTCGTGGCATTATTTATTGTTTGAAGTGCGAGATTTTGCAATTTTTTTGTCATTTTTGAGACGGTATTTTGAGGTTAGTTGTGTTTCTGTTGTAAAGTTCGAATTGGGGTGTTTTAGACTGATCGGTCAGTTGGTGATTTACATTTGGAAATTTTTGTACTTTTAAATTTCTAAATTTCTACATTTTTAAATTACTGTCATTTTAGATTCATGGATTGGTAAGTTTGCAGATTTGCAAATTTCTAAAATTATGAATTTCTATATTTCTTAATGAAGGAGTTGTAGTTTCTGTGTTTCCAAATTTTTGGATAACTGAAGTTCCAAATATCTAGATTCCAATATTTCTAAATTATCACATGTCTAAATTTTTAGATTTGTGGATTTCTAGATTTGTGGATGTTTAAATTTTTAGATTTCTACATTTCTCCATTTCTCCATTTGCAATTGATCAAATTTCTATCATAGTAACCCCCATTGTAAAAACAGTTGCATCTCAGGAAATTTGAAAACCTACAAGATTTTAAAAATTTGAAGTGTCTGTATTTCTAAATTTATAAAGTTCCATGTATCAAAATTTTATTAAATTTATATTTACAATTCTGATTACAGGCAACGGGAATTTAGAGTTGTTCGATAGTGAGAGCGGGCCGGACCTCACACTATCACCTCAGACCTTCACGTCGACGGCGGAGGCCTTCATCAATGACAATAGTGATAGTCTTGGTGTTCCAGGAGACAACGATACGGGTAAGTGATAATTTAATCTCATTTTCACGAATCATCAATCATTGTATCCTCTGACGTATACACGTATCATTGATGTCTGAATTTTCCTCGAATTTTCTCCTTGCGTCTAATTAATACTACCTTGAATTATCTGTTTAGCTCTGACTTGTACATAAATTAAAGTTTCTATTTACATCCGACTACATATCTCGAATTATCTATTCAACTCTGTCTGACACATAAATTAAAGTATCTATTTACGTCTGACTAGTACGCATCTTTGAATTTTCTATTTGCGTTTGATTAATACTGCATACGTTCTACTTACGTCTAATGTGTGCACATTCTACTTTGGTTAATTGCGGATGCATTTTGGTCTTGGATTGGTAGATGTGTAACTCGAATTATATATGTGACTATACACTTCTAGTGTCAGTAATTAGTACGAAGCTAGCACTGTCTACTTATGTCTGACTAGTACTTATTTTTAATTTTCCACTTCTAATTTATACTACGTACTTTCTATTTATATTTCACTGACTTTTATTTGACTGGGAGTACACTCTACTTACGTCTGATCATTTCGATGTATGCTGTATTTATTTTTGATTGACAGTGTACACATAGTCTACTTATGTCTGAGCGTTCGAATATATGTTCTACTTACGTCTGACTAGTGCTGTATACATTCTACTGACGTGTGGCCAGTAGGGTATTTTACTTATCTCTGACCAGTATTGTAATCTATTTATGTCGGACTGACGTTGTAGGAATATTCCACTCATGTTTGATTGACATTTTAGGTATATTCTACTTACGTCTGAACAATAGTATATTATACTTACGTCTGACCAGTAGTATATTCTACTTATGTCTGACCAGTGTTGTAACTTACTTACGTCTGACTGACATTGTAGGTATGTTCTACTTATGTCTAACTGATATTGTAGGTAAATTCTACTTACGTCTGACCAGTGTTGTAATCTACTTACGTCTGACTGACATTGTAGGTATATTCTACTTATGTCTGACTGATATTGTAGGTATATTCTACTTACGTCTGACCAGTAGTTTGTTCTAGTTAAGTCTGACCAATAGTGCATTCTACTTATATCTGACTGACCTTGCAGATATATTCTACTTATGTCTGACCAGCATTGCAGTATAATCTACTTATGTCTGACAAACTGTAAACATTCTAGTTGTGTCTGACCAGCATTGTGTACTCTACTGACGTCTGACTAGTACTGTATACATTCCACTCACGTCTGACCAGTACTGTAGGTACATTCTACTCACGTCTGACCAGTACTATGTTCATTTCTCTCACGTCTGACTAACGCTATACACATTCTACTTACATTTAACAAGCACTATAGACATATTCTGTCTGATCATCATATTCTACTTGCAGTTGACTAACATTGTATAGATTCTACTTGTGTCTGACTATTACATTACATAGTCTACTTACGTCCAATCATTTTAATATGACATTTTACTGACTGGTAGTTTCTCTTCTACTAATTGATACCAAATGGATTCTACTTGTGTCTGGCTACTACATTACTTAATCTACTTATGCCCAATCATTTAGTACATATGACATTATACTGACTGGTAGTTTCTCTTCTACTAACTGATACCAAATACATTATACTTATTGCATAATTATTATCACTACATTCAGAACAGTCGATTCATACAAATATATGCAGAATATCTAAGTGAATAATAATTAAATTAATAGAATCAATTTAATAAATAAATAATTAGTAACAAAAGATAGTCTAATGCTCCGTTAACTGGTAACGAGTTATAACATTTTTTTATTACTTCGAATCAAAGAAAATATTTTGTATTGTACTTGTGAAAGTAGTTGACAGTTGAACGGTACGAAATCTTGAAAAATCGAGGTTCGAGTTCGTCGGATGCTATTGTGTGCTTGAAATATAGCTTTCGTTATGAGAGGATATAAAAATATCAGTTTTATTCTGCGGGGAAGAGAGTCGTTCGCTTTGATTCAAGATTGTTATTTATCGAATTTTAAGGATTTTATACTTTAATATCGCGGTATGATTTATTCATTTTATTAAACATTTGCATTTAAAATTCTATTGACTTCTCAGAATCATAATACAAAATTTTTAATTTTACATGAAAGTAGTAGTATTTTTAATTGTAATAATATATAGTAATAATAATGTAAGAATAATAATTGAATAAAATGATAGAAATAAAAAATTTCATTAAATATGCAATCGTGAGTTATAAATAACTCTACAAATAGGAATGTAGTGTCATCCATTCAATTTGTCACCAAAATAAAATTATCAATGAACACCTCAAGTACCCTTATCGATAATCAAATATTCTTATCGAATAATGAGATGTCCTTATCAGCAATCAAATACCCTTATCAAATAATCAGATATCGAACGATCAAGCCTGCTTATCACATAAACTCTCCATTATGTCTCATACATCTCGCAATTAGAATTCTCCAATTTGTGAAACATTGTGTCAACAAATAATACGTGATTCATTATCCCAGAAAGTTTACAAAACGTCAGACGATACAATGATTCTGTCAGCATTCATTTTCACCGATTGAGCGGCCGATAAATCGAGAAGCAGCACGAGGCAAAGGTCTCGTATTTTAATCAATCCCGCGTTTCAAGTCGATTTTAATTTAATGGATGGAAAGGGCAGACCGTTGATCGTTGAAAGTCGTTAGACCAAGGAGAACCGAGGACAATGCATTAACGTAATTGTTGCGCTCCTCGTCAACGGGCATAGTGGAACAGTGAGTTACAACTAGTTCGAACAAATCGAGGGAGGCCATTTCCGTGCGTACGCCTCGCTACATAATAGCCATTGTTCTCAACAAGTATAAGGGGACCGTGCCAGTTGTACACCGGCTATAAAATGTCCGTATTATTTGCTGAAGACAGGTTGCACCGTAATCAACGCACCTTCACCTAAACGCTTGACGTCTCCATATATTTTTACTCCGTAATTCAAATATTCCGGTTCTTAATTTAATTCTTCGTGGAAATTGTAATATACTTCATCATTTTTTACTCTTTGAAATAAGTAATTTGATAACGCTACAGAGACACTTTTTATACAAAGCAATAGGTGCAGGAATATTGTGACTGTATATTATTGTTATTGTATATAATTAAAAATTAATATCATTTTCTGTGGACAATGTGAATTAACATTATTTAAAATTATGTGTCTTTTGAACATGTTAAATTTATTTTGTTAATAACTACTGACCTCAGAGTCTTTAGAGGTGTGGATATGTGTATATGTGAATGTGTAAGAAAATCCATACATGAATATGTGAATACATGAATACGTAAGTATGTGAATATGTAAATATGTAAATATATGAATATGTGTATATGTAAATGTATGAGTATGTGAATATGTGAATATGTGAATATGTGAATATGTGAATATGTGAATATGTGAATATGTGAATATGTGAATATGTGAATATGTGAATATGTGAATATGTGAATATGTGAATATGTGAATATGTGAATATGTGAATATGTGAATATGTGAATATGTGAATATGTGAATATATGAATGTGTGAATATGTGAATATGTGGATATGTGAATATGTGAATATGTGGATATGTGAATATGTGATTATGTTAATATATGAATATGTGTGTGAGTGTGTGAATATGTGAGTATATGAATACGTGAATATGTGGATATGTAGATATGTGAATACGTGGATATGTAGATATGTGGATATGTGGATATGTGAATATGTGAATATGTGAATATGTGAATATGTGGATATGTGAATATGTGATTATATTAATATATGAATCTGTGTGTGAATGTGCGAATATGTGAATATATGAATACGTGAATATATGGATATGTAGATATGTGAATACGTGGATATGTAGATATGTGGATATGTGGATATGTGAATATGTGGATATATGAATATGTGAATATGTGAATATGTGATTATGTGAATATGTGAATATGTGAATCTATGGATATGTGAATATGTGAATATTTGAATTTGTGGATATGTAAATATCTGCGTACGTGAATATGTTAACATATTATCACATACTATTAGAAACAATTAAATTTGCAAAATGAAATAATACAATAAATGATATTTGATAATACAACAATATTATTATACCGTTTGATGATAATTGCAATCGAATGTAGTAACATGACGCAATCTCTGACCCTTTGATTCACACGGGGTGGTAAAACAAACGAGCCTATCCTGGCCAACAAAAAATATCGAATTTCCCGAAGCGAGCCAACAGCCGCGTGTGTCGTGGTCGATGCCAAAAGCATGTTATCCGGTTCGACCATGTCGAACCTCGTATTCGATTTGTTTTTTTCACGACACATGGCTACCCTAATTGCCCTCGCGTGTCTTTTGGATTGCCTCGTTCGAGAAAAGTGGGCTTCGGGGAAAGAAAAACGAGGTAAACTGGGCTAATGATCCGCAAATGACTGGGCGGGTTTCGCGGTTCTAGCTCGTTATTCATGAAAATGTTTTGGGATAATTATTAGAGGGAATTCGGACATTTTGAATTATGCATCTGTTCAATTCAGGTTCGGCCGATCGATATACCATGTATGACCAAATTAATAGATGAAACGCATTAAATTTTACGTAGTTAGTAATTTTAGTATCAATTATAATGAAGTATACTTTTCTTTTGATACACAGATTGATTTAAATAATTAATGTGGCTTGTCTCCTTTCTTGTGGATCACTCTTTCGATCCCCTCATATATTTAGAAAAAACTTTTGACGTGTTGATACATTTGAAAATGTAGCTTTTGATCCCTCCATAAATTTGAAAATGTAACTTTCCATCCCTTCATATATCTGAAAATATAACTTTTGAGTGGAATAACATTCTTCTGCAAGCTTTCACCCATATTTTATACTTACGTAGAGGTTATGTTCTATTACAGTTCTTACTAAATGGGTCAAAATTATTGCTTATAG